TGGTGGTAGTGGTAGTAGTAGTAGTAGTAGTAGTAGTAGTAGTATTAGCAGTAGCAGTAGCAGCAGGAGTAGTAGTAGTAGTAGTCGTCGTCGTAGTCGTAGTCGTAGAAGTATAAATGATAATACTAATTCATAGGAGAGGAGGAAGGTGACGATGATGACGATGACGATGGTGGCCATGTTGCTGATCCACGGATCGAACAAGATTTTTGCTACCTTTTCTGTGGCACGCATGCTGCTGAGAGAGTAAGGATGGACTAAGCACAGCTGAAAGCAAGAAGATCTCCAAGTTGCCGGTCCTGCTACGGCTTCGCAAGGCGTTACACAGACGCTGCGCACACAAAGACAAAAATATCATGATCATGACGATGATGCATGACAATGAGACAGACGAGGATGAGAGTCGGGATACGGAAGTCCATGATCGTGAAGGGTAGGGGGATGAGAATGAGCATGCTGCTGATGAGCCCAGTCGCTTGTAGTCTGGCGGCCACTGACTACTAGTAGCACGGGAACCTCCTAACTTAACTGGACCCCGAAACGGGGCACTAACTTAACCAGAAAACACCACACGGGCACTTGCCCTGGCGCGCCTTGTCGGAGGCCATTGCCATCAGTTCCTTCGCGCCCGGGACCCTGACACTGCTTCGCGGTCCAAGAGTTTAGGGGCCTCATTCAGGGCTTCAGGTGTCAGGGTTTAGGGGTTTAGGGTTTAGGGTTTAGGGTTTAGGGGTTTAGGGGCTTAGGGGTTTAAGCACGTAATGCTTAGAGAGTTAACATTGGACGCGGGGTCCTTTATTTACAAGTCCGCGCAGCAACGGCTCTGGTTTAGGGTGTCTGCTTCAGCTGGGCAATTTAAAGTCTAATCCCTTCAGCCTGTGAGCCCCAGGCTTAAACCCTAAGCCTGAAGCGTGGACGACCAGGTTGGAAGCGCAAACGCGGAATACCCTGCACTAAATCTGAAGCCCCCGCCCTTCAACCCCCCAAGGTACACAGGACTTAGAATTGTGCAAAGTTGTGCAGTTTGTTGTTGAATTCTGTCAGCGTGCTACAACAAATAACATGACACTGTCGAGCTTCAGGTTTGGCTTTGACCCGAAGCCAAAGCCTAAAACCCCAAACCCAAAAACCCTGCAACCCTCAAGTCTAAAACCCTCAACCCCAAAACCCTGAACCTAAACCCTAAACCCAAAAAAACCTAAACCCTAAACCGTAAACCCCAAAAACCTGAAGCCTAAAACCCCTGAACCCTATGCCCTAAAACCCTGAACCCAAAACCCCTGAACCCTAAACCCCAAAAAACAATGAACCCAAGATTTTTGTCCCCCGGGTCTCGGGTTAAGGGCTCACGCCGCAGAGTTTCGTTCCGGTTGCGATCGGAGCTACAATCAAAATCACAATCATGGGTTTTTAGAGTTTAGGGGCCTCATGCAGGGTTTCAAGGGTAAGGGTTTAGGGGTTTAGGGTTTAGGGTTTAGGGTTTAGGGTTTAGGGTTTAGGGTTTAGGGTTTAGGGGTTTAGGGTTTTAGGGTTTAGGGGTTTCAGCACGTAATGCTTAGAGGGTTAATGACGTTGGACGCGGGGTCCTTTATTTAGGGGTCCGCACAGCAACGGCTCTGGTTTAGGGTGTCTGCTTCACCTGGGCAATGTAAAATCTAATGATTCCTACAGCCTGTGAGCCCCAGACTTAAGCCCTAAGCCTAAAGCGTGGACGACCAGGTTGGAAGCGCAAACCCGGTAAACCCTGCACTAAATCTGAAGCCCCCGCCCTTCAACCCCCGAAGGTGTGTAGGGCTTAGGGTTTTGCAAGGTTGTGCAGTTTGTTCTTGAATTCTAGCCGCTTCTACAACAAATTCTAGACTTTGAAGTAACCAGGGAGAAAAAGGGATAGACATTAATTTCATAATGGCTCCCTTAAGGAACAGGTCCCCCAAAAAAGCATTCAAGCATGCTACTCCAGAACCCAGAATAAAATGACACTGTCGAGCTTCAGGTTTGGCTTTGACCCGAAGCCGAAGCCTAAAACCCCAAACCCAAAATTCCTGCAACCTAAACCCTAAACCCTAAACCCTAAACCCTAAACCCCTCAAGTCTAAAACCCTTCATCCCCAACACCCTGAACCTAAACCCTAAACCCTAAACCCCAAAATACCTGAAGCCTAAAACCCCTGAACCCTATGCCCTAAAACCCTGAACCCCAAAACCCCTGAACCCTAAACCCTGAAACCCTGAACCCAAGATTTGTTGTCCCCCACGTCTCGGGTTAAGGGCTTACGCCGCAGAGTTTAGTTCGGGTTGCGATCGGAGCTACAATCAAGGTCACTATCATGGGTTTTTGGGGTTTAGGGGTTTAGGGTTTTGTTTTTTAGGGTGTAATAGGGTTTAGTGTTTAGGGGTTTAGGGTTTTAGGGTTTAGGGGTTGGTTTAGGGTTTTAGGGGCTTAGGGGTTTAGGGGTTCAGGGGCTTAGCGGCTTAGGGGTTTAGGTTCCATTAAGCAATCATTGTACCCTAAATCATAATAGGCATCCCTCTTCAGTCGGAGGACTTGACCTAAAGAGGCATTGGCCTCTCCGGGAAAGCTATCTCCTCCACAGCTGGAACCTGTGAAAGGCATCGCAACACCCCCTGAACCGATAATCCAAAATCCCAAAACCGCAAACCCCTGAAATCCCAAACCCTGAACGGCTAACTTCGGAGCCTACAGATTTCCCTGTTTGACCGCCGGCTACGACCTTTTTTCGGGGTTGGCGATATATACTTTATATGTTCGGGCCTTGTCTACTCATGAGCCTTAATTAACCCTCAACCCCCCACCAAAGCTGCCCTACTGCCAAGGCACATCGCATTGCAGGTGTGAGGGAGGTCATCGACAACAGCCTGCGGCATTCTTCTTCTGTGCGAGACTCACAGAAGTCTGGAAGCTCATAGAGAGACGAAGAACTCAAAGCTTGCGCTTAGGGTTTAGGGTTTCTAGGGCTCAAGAAATCTAAGCCCAGAAGTCTTCGCCTCGCAGAACCACTCTTAAGTCCCAGCGGTCCCCTATGAAATTTAAGTCCGTGGTATAGGAATCCTTACTGCCAGAAGTCCCTGCAACAGAGTGCCCTTGAGAATCCGACCTCAACCACTGAAGACAAGGATTTCTTGGATCCTCTGAGCTTTTCTTGCAAGCAAGAAGTACCCTAAACCCTAAACCCTGAACCCTAAACCTGTGAAACTCTAAACACTAAACCCTTAAACCCTAAACCCTAAACAATAAATCTCCAACCCTTAGACCAAGAGAGATACCTCAAAACCTAAACCGAAAACCCAGGAGCTCAATGACTTCCGTACCTGAGCCACCCAACAACGTGAAATTCCCGACTCATAATAACGGTTAGGGTTTAGGGTTTAGGGTTTAGGGCCGTAATACTTAGAATAGGGTTCTGGGGCATATATATACTTATGGTAAGGAACCGTAAAATAGTGTTCGTAGTTATTTACGCAAGCCCGTATAGTATATATGGGTCTAGGGAATAGTTAGCATAGGGCTCTGGGGTATAAGTTCTAATATGGTTGTAATAAGGAACCCCCAAATAGTGTTCGGAGATATTATCCCTAAACCCTAAACCTAAACCCTAAACCCTAAACCCTAAACCCTAAACCCTAAACCCTTTATGCAAAGCCCGTATATTCATTGCCAGTGGTTGGGCTCTTCACGAGGCCTTGGACTCGCTGCAAAAAAAACACACGAGAGCTTGGGGTCCTTTACTGCTTGGAGGTTCTACGGTTTAGGGTTTAGGGTTTAGGGTTTAGGGTTTAGGGTTTAGGGTTTAGGGTTTAGGGTCCCTTACTGCTTGGAGGTTCATGGGTAGTTAGAAGGGGTTCCTTTAAAGGGTTCTATGGGGTTTAGGGTTTAGGGTCTAGGGTTCGGAGGTTCATGGGTAGTCATAAGTGGGGTTATAAGTAAGGGTAGCTATAGTTATAATCCATATTAGGCGACTTCTAACCCCACTGATAACTACCCATGAACCTGCAAAAATGGCAAGGCATAGTTGCATATCCATCGGCGCAACCAACAAGGGGCTGACGACCGGCCTGGACGGGCGCTACCCCACTTCGCCACGATGATGAATGCCATATCAAGCGCTGCAAAGCCCAGATTGAAACATGATCAAGCCACTTTGCGATTTGGTATTTGGAGGCCTTCATGCCTAAACGTTCAGGGTTTAGGGTTTAGGGTTACACTAAACCCTGAAGCCCTGAACCCTAAAACCC